ACGTATACCATGTCGATTCATTCGTCGTCAAAATGAATGAGCTGTGGTTTGCTTTCACTCAACGTGACCCATTCCTACTGTGCGTCACAGAGGCATGGTGTACTGAATTAATAAGAAACGACGAATCGCCTACCTCTCGTATGACGTTTTTGCATCGATTAGAATCTTGTTGAAGAGAATAGTGTGGATCGTTACATAGAATTACAATCTGAAGTATTCCTGTGTGTATGACACGGTGCTTCTAGACCTTCAGGAGCCAGTCTGGTAGATAATTCTCGTGACCCAAACTACAAATTGTATGGCCGGAATGGTCTAGAACCTACTGTTAGTGCACAGTCATCGATATCGTATTAAGGAAGGCACTATGCAGAGTACTATCCTAAGGTCGCTTACAATTTTTTTTATAATGAGCGACCTTAACCATCCGACATTTGTCTTTATACTAGCTGTAACAAACGCATTGACATCCTCCAACACCTGTCATCCACACATATGGCATATGGTCAGAAAACCGTTTTTATTCAGTTGGGTGGGAACCAACGAGCCGGACAGTACTGACAACATAGAAATCTCTACTCCACTGATGTTTTCCAAGCCGCATTGCACAACAGCTCCGAGTTGTATTAAATTAAATGTGCTACGTGAGGCACACCTCCAAGCAACTAGGAGAGCAATTCAAAGGGTCTGAATGAACAACTTCTTTGATAGGACTCAACCTACACAATTACTAGTAAACAGTCGTTGATAGGATCTCCAATGTGTTCGACGACTAGGTTCAAGATGCGTGAAGAACAGTACCAGACACTTGATTATTCTGAAGCGCACGATTCGGGACTTGTAGTAGATAGGGTGGAACGATATTGTTTGGGTAGAATAAATCAACTGGCGCATCACCACATAGCCGCACTGGAAGAAACCAATTCCAAGTGTAAACAAGGTCTCTCCTGTAAGCTAAGTATAAACCCAAAAGTGTTTCACGGTAATTTAGCAGCAGACAGGAAAGGTAAGATCGGTATTTCTCAAAACAAGAGGGTTTGATGGATTTGCAAATATAAATGCAGAGACCACCAACACAGGGAAAGGATGGTACGTAAGTATGCGTACGTGCGCTCTAAGGCTTCCACTGAACCAACTGAAAGAACTCATCTAAAATCTTCCGGTTCTCAGTATCATAAGTATCCGTTAAGTTAATGAAGCACCTACCACAAAAGTCGCCCTATCTAGACTGTATAACCTACGTCATCTTGACAAGTTGTATAAATTATTCATTAGTGCCGGCCGTATTCTGAATGTATGCTACAAATTCGAAGTAATCTTTATCCACAAAAGAGGGAACAGGGGTCTTCAGCGTAGTGGACGGCTGATGACGGATGGTTTATTCAGAGCAAAGCTGGTTGAACTTGGTCTACCTCAACTAAGTACAATGTGGTATGCGTAATGGACATCGTGTGTCTCCAGTTACTAACTGTTCGTAACGGTGGGATCATGGTTGCTAACGAAGAACTGGTTTGATGATTATGCCCCAACTGTCCAAAACCTAACAACTTCGTGGAACAAGTGCTCATGTGGACAAAAATTATCAGACCAGACTTAGAACTAATGCAACTGTAAACATCCAACTACCGAACTGTTTTGCATCTATTAGCTATGCTCTGCAGGGTTTCACCTTGAAGTCCTCCATTTTTTGTTCCAGTCTTCTTTCACTTGCCAAGTAATGTCAGATCACTGGTGCTGTTCTACACCGGTGATACAAAATATGACGTATTCTACAGGTTCCGCAGGATATGGATGAAGTTAGAAAAACTCATTCTCTCACTGACGGCTCCGTAGATGAGCCACTTATCGTTCAATGCCTTTAACCACTGGGTCGTGCATGCCAACTGTCAGAGTTATTTTAGATGAGATCCAATTGTGAAAAACCAGGACTTCGGCTGGATTCGAACCAGCGACAGAAACAGCATTGTTCAAAGCGCAAGTCTATCAGCTGAGCACGAAGCCAACCAGGAGTGAAAACTTCCGATGGACTTGTTACCATCCTCCCATTCTCATATGGAATCTACCAAGTCGCTGGTTCGAATCTAGCCGAAGCCTGATTTTCCACAATTGGGTCTCATCTAACACCATAAATCGGTTGAACTACTTTTTAGTAATATCAGAATTATGTTCAGTACTTGTTAAGGAATCCATTTTCTCCGTCCCAAACCGCCTCCGTTCTCGAGAAAATTTTATCCAGTCAGAGCAGAAATGTCCAGAACTGTCGAGTGGGAAAACTTTCGCATTTTACAGCCCGACCTTTATCCGCTATTGCTGGTGGGACCCAGTTACCTTGGACTATTATTTTTTGGAACTCCTTCCATTTTCGATTCAGAGATTGTTTAGGTCACTATGCACCAATAAATACCTGTAATTTTCTCTTGTGACATACGTTGTTGGAGCGGAACAAAGTTGCTTTTTGCTCCGTCTTTTGGTTCGTCTTGGGAGCAATTAACGGCGACAGTCGCGTTATTCTCAGGACCAAGATTTTTCCATGTTACTTATACCGAGAAGGAAAACCCGATTTCTATCAAGCGCATTACTATATCGTGGACGGACCAGCGTATTCTTTCGAAGGTTAACAACATTTGGCGACGGAAGAATTCACGATGTCACGTTCGACCAGATCCAAGCCCTCCCTCAACAGCAACAGAACAATTCAGGCAAGCGCAGTTAAAACTTGATGAAACCTGACGCAGATTGAGTTTTTAGCAGCCGACAGTGGGACAAACGAATCCTTCAAACCTACTGCATAGTCTTATCAACTCAATCGGTTAGTTTAATTTTGTTCTTGTAATGGCCTAGTCGATCTTGGTTCAAAAAGTATGAGGATGATTTCAAGGTGGAACTGTTCAGACGCTGACGATACTCGGAAAATGAGGCTGCTGCTCCATAAACTGGGTATCTCAGAACACTAACTCTAACTTGCCGAAGAACCCAGTTGTAAAGGGATTAGAGTGGACAAACGCGTCGATACGAAGTCAATCAGTGATTCGCAGAAAGCTACGGCCAATCAGTGTCGACAACGTGAGCAGACTGGTACGTCAGCGCTGTGACCAATCAGGATGGCACGCTGCCTCAGCATCGGATTTTGTTAAGAGGAGCATCGAAGTAAAACAATGTTTAAGAGTCAGCTTAAAACAAGCGAGCTATCAAGCGAGCCGAGCCACCAATGGAAAGCCAAAGCTTCAGCACAATTGTAATTTGTCTTTTACGATGCATCTTGTCTGTAAAATAATAAAAACTCAATAAACGAGATTTATTTGTGTTAAGGATTATTTTGCTTTTGCTTCGTTACCAAGGTAGCTACTTTTAACCAAAAGTGTTCAGCTTTGACGAATCACCTCAACCGACAATGTTTGGTGGTTGGTCGATAAAACAAACTAAAGGTCATTCAACAAAATGACGGAAATTTTTGATGAACAAATAGATGGTCAGTAGTTCACGGACGAACGTACTGTAGCGAGTTTGTGCTGTCTGCAAAGATTTGGAGAAAAACGAGACAGGTTGCCATTTGTTCTTAACCAATTGCTGAAGTAAAGCTCCAACAGCCAAATTCCGTGCATCAGTAGTAGTGATGATAGGACCGGAGGCATTCGAGTAATGAAAGGATGTTTTTGTGCAAGCATCTACTTTATCGAGTTAAACGAACTGATTGATGTCTCAGGTTAATTCTAACTGACACTTGGTAGGATTGATAACAATACTAAAATCACCAAGCTTTGGAAAACTTAGAAGAAATGTGTGCAGTGTTCCTCGGGTCTATGGCTGTAATTGAAATGTCGTCGATCCATGGGTGAGTGAAATCCAAGCACTTCTTCGATTAGATGTTGGAAGGTTTGTGTTGCATTTCTTAGCCCAACAGGCAGCCACAAAAATTCAAACAATCCAAATGGCGTGGTGATTGCGGTTTTCGGAACGTCTTCCGTCACGGAAATTTGATGGTAAGCCCGTATCAGATTGACTTTAGAGAATATGGTCTTGCCGTGCAGATCAGATGTGATATCATGAATGTGTGGGACAGGATATCGATCTGCAACGGTGACTTGATTGACACTTCTGTAGTCTCCACATGGACGCCAGTCATTAGAGTCCTTTTTAGAAAGTGGCGAAGACCATGGGTTCTTCGAGGATCGAATAATCCCAAGTTGGAGAATGTGATCGAATTTCTTGCGGACGATAATTAGCTTATCAGGAGCCAAACATCTTGGCATGACAGCTACTGGTGGAACACGAGTTGAGCTGTGAGGCATAATGGAAGACTATTGGAAGTTAGGATTAAGTATTCCAGGAAATTTGGCAAGCAGTGAGGCATACTCTGAATGAGTTTCAGTAAGTGTGACTGGGAGATGAAGAGAATCAATGTGTGTTGACTGACCTGTGACAATCATGTTGATGGTTGTGTCAAGCAATCGGCGGTGATTCATGTCTACTGAAGTTGTTGAGAAAATCTGCGCCCACCTTTGCAAGTCGCACATCAGCAATGAGAAATATCCATCTGAGGTGCGTCTCAACCCGAGAGACATTGAGACGGAACGTTGGCCGTAAGTCTGAATGGAAGAACCGTTGGCAGCTTTGAGTGCTTGGACCACGATAAGATGAGATCGATCTTGTGATGTGGTGGGAAGGACACTGACTTCAGCTCACATGCCAATGAGGAATTTGTGACCACTTTTCTTATCAAGTATGAAAAACAGGCGACTTGAAGTTTGCAAACCAGCTGAGTTTGTCGCAGAACTCAACTGGCGCTGCCGTTTCCCGAGTGGTTGGGAGTCGGAGAGAAAGCACATGGAGTGTGCAACGTCTTGCACTAGCGCCAAATTTACGATAATAACCTATTCTCTCTGTCATATGAGTTTTAGATGGAGATTTGTTCAACGATCGACTGCGTGAACGAAGGTGAGCAGTCGGTTGTGAATGTGATTGGGACAATTGCGCTGTCAACTGGTTCAGCTGAAGCTGGATTTTTCGAATATTCCGTTGCTGTTCACGGTTCAAAGACAAATGGTGTTGTGTCAGGGGAACTGGATGCTAAATGCGTGAATCCAGTGGTGTTGTTAGTTGGCATGGCTTCGATGACCTTATCCGCCGATGAAGCTAGGTTGTCCGAAACTCTGATCGGGAACAAGCAAAAGTGCCACTTGGACGGGACTTGGTAAACGTTGAACAACATTCGTCTGTGGGTTTGTCACCCAGCACCGTTCGCATGTGACGCAGTAGTTGGGAGGACGACGATCACCGAGCTGCACATCGTTGAGCAATTGCTGTAATCGTTTGTGTTCGGACATAGATACTCGATTTAAAAGCTCCCGTTTCAGAACAGCATATGGGGTAACTGTGTCGGGATTGGCAATAATGTCTCGAACTTCGTGCATAGTTTCTGGTTGGAGTTCAGCAACCACATAATCAAACATAGTGGTCTGTTTGGTTATACGATGTTTGCGAAAAATAGATTCAATCTGCAGAAACCATAGAGCTGGGTCCGATTGCCAGAAAATGGGAAGTTTGACTGACAGTGGTGACACGAATAGGTCCTCAACGTTGGTATCATCAATGACATTCTGATCCATGTTCAGTGATGGACGGATAACGAATAATGACAAACA